ACTGAAAATAGTGCACCTCTCCAATATGCTTCAGATCACTTTCTCATTCATTCATCATTGTATCTTATATAGTTATTGAGGAAATTGATGATTTGTGAAGACTTCGAGTTTTCGAGGCTTAGCAAATCGTTTTTTAAAATTTGACAGTAAATTGTAGGAAAACGCCAACAGGTACAAATATGACAGACCACACGTTGGAAAGCCCAAACATTCAGCTTTAATTTGATTGCTCATTCATCATTGTATCTTATATAGTTATTGAGGAAATTGATGATTTGTGAAGACTTCAATTTTTCGAGGCTTAAAAAATCGTTTTTTCAACTTTGACAGTAAATTGTAGGAAAACGCCAATAGTTACAAATATGACAGACCACACATTTTAAAGCCCAAACATTCAGCTTTAATTTGATTGCTCATTCATCATTGTATCTTATTTAGTTATTGAGTAAATTGATTATTAACAATGATTGTTTTTTAATATAAACTGTTAATTGAATCTGTCAATCAAACGTCATAATGTAATTGAGTATGTTTATCAATTGCTTTCTAACTGTTTCTAACCATCAATATTAGTTTACATTTTGACATCTGTCAATCGATTCAATTGCTTACATCAATCGAAACATTTATAGATTATGTTTTTGTTTGGAAGAACAATTGCATTTAAATTCGAGAACCGAGTGATTTTCTTTGTTTCGCAAGGATTTGTAAAAATATATTTGAAAATATTGGGAACAGATGAAGTTTAAATTTAAAAAAAATACATTTATTCTATCAAATGTTAACAATTAGTATCGAGTAATTGAAATTTGATCGAATTCTACCAAAAAGTGAATCAACAGAATTAGCAGCGAAAATGCTTCGCTTTGATGTTTGATGAGAGTAGAGAGAAACAATAAAAATGACAGGACGTAACTGAAAACAAAACTGAATAAAAGCAGAATGAGATAGATGATGGAGGGTAAAAGTAGAGCAAATTTGTCCGATGATATAATCGAGTCATTAAAAAAAAAACACTAACAGAAACTTGACCTAGACCACTGGATATGAAAATACCCATATAACAAAATTGTTTGTATATATTTTTAAACATGAAACCTTAAGGCAACTTCACCTAACCTAACATTTTCTCGGACCTAGGGCACTAGAGTGGATAAGGAAATAAATACGTCTATAAATTATTGAGATGTATTTCTCAAATAAAACCAAAATCAATACAGACAAACCAAAAAGAAATGTAATTTATTGTTGTACAGAAAAATAAATCATAATAATTATAGGTTACGCATTTCTTACATTGAGATTACACGCATTCGCTGAACGAGACGGTACAGGAGAACACATCACTGGAAGCTCTGTCGGTACAGATGGTGCAACTGGCAGCTATCATGGAAGGGAAAAAAGGTACACAAAATAGTAGCAGACCGCCATGCCCATGGTGGGACGAAGATTGCAGTCGCAGTTGTCAAGAGGAAACGATTACTAAGAATTTACCACCAAACTAAGAGATTCGAACATCTGTTAGCCGCAAAACACCAGATGGCGGAAACAAAAAGACTTCTGAAGGAAAAGAAGAGGGCCAGCTTCAGGAGCTTCTGCGAATCTATCAGTAGGGAGACATCAGCAGCTAGTATTTGGAGGAAGATCAGAAGCTTCAATCGCAAAGCGCCGATAGAGAACCCACTGGAGAACGGTGACAACAAATGGAGGCAAGATGTTCTTGTTTTCTTGTAGACCGCTGGTGCGAAATTAATAACGTATTTGAACCTACTTTTGCAGGTTTTCGCAGGGGTAGGAGCACGTTGGATAATATTTATGGATTGGCAGCGGAAATCTATCGAGCGCTCGCTGCTGGGGAGGATCTAATTGTTGTGTTCCTGGATATTAAATATGCGGCCTTCGAGCCTGGGATTTACAAGGAAAACAGTCAGAAATTTTCCACTCCTTCGTGTTCGGAACATCGGTGTGGAGTACGTGAGAGCACACAAGTTTCTGGGAATTTGGTTTGACGACAAACTATGCTGGAGAAATCATATCGGCTCGCTAGTCAGGTCATGCTACCAAGGTGTTAACATCCTGAGAGCGTTGTCCGGGCTTGACTGGGGAAGCTAATGTTGTTCTTTGCTAATGTTGTTCTGTTCCGTGGCTACGTGCGCTCACGGCTTGATTACGCTAGTGGTCTTTACTCGTTCTGTGCAAAGGCGTTACTCGACCAACTGGACAGAATACAAAATCAATGTCTGAGCATCTGCATTGGAGTTTTGCGCTCCACCCCACTGAATGTATTGCACGTGGAAAACGGCGTATTTCCATTGGAGATTAGAAGAGCCGAATTGGCGAGACGTTATTGCGTAAAGTGTAGAGCAAGCCCACCTTCAGCTGTTCGCCCGCTTGTCGCCAGGGCAGCGTCGGAGTTCCAACAAAACCCTTTTTGGCCGGCTAAGGGAATCCCACTTCTGATTCAGGCGTGGAGAGATACGGAAACGTTCAGAACAATTGTGGATAAGAGAGCCATAAAAAATATCTTCGCCCCACCATTGGAAGACTTTACGCACCGCATAAAATCAATGAAATTTCCGTATAGTAAGGAAGATTTCGCTAACTCCGACTGGCTTACTAACAAAGCATTCGAGGAATTCAGAGGTGCTTCTCTCCGATATCTGACATATACAGACGGATCCTTAGTAGAGTCACCTCGATCTGTCTCCTTCGGTATTCACATTCCGGAGATTAATATCTCAGAGTCGGGGAGATTGCCAGGGCTAGCGTCGATATACACGGCGGAATTATACGCGATACACAGAGCCCTACGATTGACACAATTCCATGAGATACGAAGAGTGGCGATAATCACGGATTCGATGAGTGCTATTGATGCCATCACCAGCCAATCAACGACAGTTAAAACGAACCACTGGGTTGTGGCAATACGCACGCAGATAAGAGATATGGAAACGGATGGGGGAGCTGTGATGTTGTGTTGGGTGCCCAGCCACCAGGGTATCCTGGGTAACGAAGAGGCTGATGTTTTGGCAGGAAGAGGTCATCAACGTGAGATTATCAACATCAAGCTACACTACACGGACACATATCAGAGCGGATGCTATGTTGGAATGGCAACGCAGATTCGAGGTGGAGAGCGAATACAAGGGGTCGTTATTTTATGGATTCAACAAGACAGTTAAGAGGCACCCATGCTTTTTCAAGATGGGATTCAGCAAGAAATCGGAGATTGCAGTGCTCAGTCGTTTGAGATCGGGACACACGCTGGCCCCGGTGCATTTGGCCAGAGTCGGGTGGCAGGACTCGGATAGATGCAGCTGTGGGTCCGTGGGCTCGCTGGATCACTTATTTTTTGAGTGCGAGCAATATTAACCAGCCACCGAAGCGCTATGCAGAGAATTACTAAACAACAAGGTCCCGCTACCGACATCAGTTCGGGCGCTGATTAGCTCCGAAAACGAAACAATATATAAGTGTCGATCCCCGATTCGAGAAATGTTATTTAGTGTAGTCGTCCCACATGTATTTTCCCCCTGACTCCAGTAACTTACACCAGCGTAAAGTAATCTCAAATTAATAAAGACCGTGGCTGGCGAAATTGTGCAAGACGCGCAAGCCAAGTGAAGTGTGGAGAGGAAGGAAGAAGAAGAAGATTATTACATTAAGTTTAAAATCTATACGTTTTTCTTTTCTAGTTGCAATTTGTACTTTTCGCTGAACTCTTCGCCGCCCATCTTCGGCTTCCTGACGAACTGAAGGAGAGCCTTATTTTTGATCGTCCTGTGCTTCAGGGTGTTCAGGTAGGGTTTGTTGCCGCCGCACACGTCCTCCATTAAAGCTATGTAAACATCTTTGGCATCAGCGACGGCTGACAGGTTATTGGCTTCGGCTGTAGCCTAAAAACACACACAAACACAATAACATCACACAAAATTTAGGATTAAGATTGAATATACTTACGACAAGCACGGACTTTGGTTCTGGTAATTTATTGCCACTACATATGTTAAGGTACGACTTAAAATATTGCACTAAATCCCTGGCTTTGACTTTCTGTCCGTTGATCTGCTTCAGCACTAGGTTCTCGGGCGCCAACAGCATTGGCACTAATATCTGCAGGTTCTGCTTGAATTCGTCAGTAATATCTAAAAACAACAGATTTATAAAACCAGACGCTAAAAAAAAGGCACTTCCGAATCAAATGATGAACCTTTGAGTTTTCCGTCGAAATGCGGACTGGTGGCCACCTGCAGACCGGGATGTGGCATCAGGAAGCACGCGATCTCCGTGAAGCAGGACCTGATGTGATTGCGAAGCGACTGCAGCTTCGGATGCTGCTTATCGTTCACCTGCAGCTTCTTCTGCAGGATCTTCTGACCTCCGAGCGCTCCGTATTCGGCTTCGTAAGGATAACTCCAATCCCTCACGAGGAATTGAAGCCTTTGGAACGGCGTCTTTCCCGAATCCGCCAACGCCAATCTTCCGTACTCCGTGAATTGCTAAAAATATATTTAATTAGTCAAGAACAAATTATTGATAATATTCAATAGCATAAACATTAAAACTGAGACGCAAATTGATATAATCCTATTTATTAGCATGACCTCAACCTATTGCGCAATAAAACATCTATAATCCACAGGTGAATCAAAGCGAAACGAATCACGGTATTACAAGTTAATGAAATGCATCGATCATTCATACAGAAATATCAACATTTGCTTTACTTATTTATTTTTTCCTCTTTCTTTCGAAAATTCTTATTAACCGCTAATTAGAGTAAATATCATAATTGTACATATAATTACAGCACGCACGCGATCCTTGTAATTAGGGTTCGTTAAGGAAGAAAGGAAACGAGCAACAAATTAGCCTGCTAATGAGAGAGATATGCAATTCGCGGTACGCGCCAGATTAAAAGGTGAGCCTAATTAGAGGAAACGATTGTTATTATTGCACCCCATACGAGTATGCAAATTCACAACATTCGAAACACTATCAGCAAACTTTCGAAAAACCATTGTTATCCAAATATAAACTTAATATCTATAACTATACTATTTTAAAGGTAAGATTAAAATCGATTTTTCACATCAAATTTCTATGACTAATTAGTGAATCATTGTCTTAACAACGAATTTCCCATCGTTAACTTTCCAACTCGAGAACACTATTATTACTTAAATATTTGATCAAATGAATGTAAACTATATGATTATTAATATTAAAACTGAGAATGTTTTTGTAGATACCTGCAAATACTGGAGATCATCTTCCCGGATGTTTTCTGAAAGGTTAAAAATCTGCACGGAGCTGATCATGGTGCTAAGGGCGATGACCGTCGCGCAATCCTTCTTGTCGAACGCGCCCTGCGTGTCCAATAAAACTATGGCCACCTAGAAGAATCGTTTCAAGCAGTTCGTTTAAGAAAACAAGGTAAGTTTTTTATCGTCTCTCTCTCTCTCTCACCTTATCGCCGGAGTCCAGTTCACCTAAAAACACCTCGGACCACATCTGGATGCCCGTAGTTTCGCGCTCGTAACCGCCGCGCCACGAGAATCCCTCCAAGGGCACATCTTGTGGTCCCAACCAGTCGGACGTACTTTTATTTTCGATATACTGAAAAATTATAAATTGTAAACAGTTAATAATAGGAAATCAAAGTTCGATCCTATAATGTTAACGTAAATTTTTCGCTCGACAAACAGAGTCCAAAAGTTAAATAGAGTACGCAAACTATTATTTACTACACTAATGAGAGACACAATCAAGTAGGATTAAAAAAAACGAATAGGTTCCAATTAGAGTATCAAGTAGCTCCAATATGATAGTTAAGTAGGTTAAAACAAAACAATAGGAGACTTAAAGAGTCAAGTAGTGACAAACATGACACTTTCAGGTTAAAAAGTTAACTTTGATGAATGCATATTTTTGTGTGTGCGTGTAGGGAAATGACTAAGCTATTAATAATTAAATGCTCACCTTGACATTCAAGTATCTCAGGAAAAAGTCCAATATAAATGATTTTCCTTTACGGCAGGCCCCAACAACTGAAACAACCACCACATATCTGTCCTTGATGTCCTCCCTGAGCAGGACGTGGGACAGCTGTTCCTCATCCAAGGAGAAGGTGTGATCCTTATTGTCAATGACGATCTGTATAGGCCTCGGCTTGTGATCCATTTTAACCTCATCCATGTCTGTGTGCTGATCACCTGCGATATCTACAACAACAACAACAAAAAAAAAACATGGATTAATTACTAATTAATTGGAAGGGCCAATTTTGTGTTATCTCACTGATAACAAGCAAATTATTGAGCTGCACACATTTATATAAGTTTTCTCCAAACTGGACAAAGACAAATTGTCGAAGCTCAGTGCACTCACTTTATCTATGATATTAGTATGTGACAGATGACTGTCGGAGTCTTTTTTTATAGTGGGGGGCTTGACAAAAAAAAAATCCGGAGACAGGTAAAGCTTTGGGGATTCTGTAACAATAGTCTCTTCCTATTACAAAAATGATAAAAACTCTTGTTTTTACATACACGTTTTTACATACACAAAGAGACTTTCACTGAAAAGTGATTTGACAATTTGGGTTTTTGCTGCCTGCTTGCAATGTCAGGTACATGTACACACTGCACACACACGGATCTCTCTTATTGGAATTCGCATTTTTTGTAAATTGTAGAACGATGGAAGAAAAAAATACAAAAGTTCCTCTGTATTCTGTATGGGTGGCAACCATACAGAAATGTAATTTATTGTTGTACAGAAAAATAAATCATAATAAATATAGGTTATGCATTTATTACATTTATTTATTACAAATAACAGCTAAATGATTTATCAGATTGAGATATCGTTTTTCAAACTAGGATAATTGCAAAAATTGAACACTGTACCACAGATCACCAACGTTTCAGAAACAATGGCGTCGAAAATAGTCATCGCCGTTCTCTAAGTAAACAAAACTATAGCGCTGCGCTTGCCCCCACTCTCATAAATTAAAATCAAAGATTGGAGAACTGACTCGCTTTTCGCTCAGCTCGGCTACCATCGGCTACCAGCTGCGTCCATGTCAATTTAATATGTGTTTTGATGGAAGAAGGCGTTTGTTTTTGTGTTTCCATTGTTCTTAAAATATGGCTTTAAGTAATATCTTATTGCTTAGCCAAGTGGCTGGATATGTGGTTGCATTGATCCTTTCGTTGTGCATTGTTGTTCCAATGAGCATGCACCAGGATGAGTTTCGGTACTTTCTATTAATCATCTATTATTGTCATAATACATCTTTTACATTTCGTAGTGGACACTGCTTACTATTTTCCACTGGAATTTGGCAAGAGACTGATGGCCAATTAAAAGTGAATTGGGGTTCACAGGGTTACTGCAACTACACCATTTTTGTAGGAGTAGCATTGTTCTTAACATCAGCAATCCAAATTTACAGGCTATCCGTTTTATTGTACAAGGGAATTGACAGCAGTTTTTTATCAGCTTTCATTGATGTAATTTCAAGTTTAATACTGTGTGGTGCTATCATAATTGCTGCATTGATGATTACACTTGGTTTTATTGTTTGGTGTGAGAATATGACACAGAGATTTCCATCGTAAGTGTAAATATTGCATTATCAATATTGATTACAACATTCCTTATATTTCAGTTGTGAATTGGCTGCAGGACAGGCTATTGATAAACAGGATGGCATAGATACAGCCAATTTTTATATTGAACTGGGATCTGCACAAGTATTTAATTGTTTATTATAATTCATTACTGATACGTAATTAATTTGTTTATTAATATTTTAGTTTGGAATTTGGGGCTCCTTTGCGACGTGGGTTGGTCTCTGCGTGTTCGCGCTATTGAAAATGTGTCGCTATCATCAAATTGAGAACATGAGGGTGTCTATGTTCAAAGAACGTCGTCGTTTGATTTACGAGAACGGGGAATCCCCGGGCAGTTCTTTGGGCAGGGAATCTACAAACACGAATTGCACTATAACAGAGTGATTAGATTCATCTATCCTGCATTATCCATTATATATAGTTTATGCTGTTCTACATATATCATTGTTAGTGCACCAGGCAATTTATTATTTGTGCAGATTTTAATTATTCATTACCTTTGTTTAGTCCATACTAAAGTATCATCTAGAAATTATACATTATAGCTTGAATAATTTAAGAAAAGATAGTATGTACATAATACGGGAATATGTAATTTTTAAACAATTTAGGAGGCAAATCGGGCCCAATGAAAGAGATGGTTAGAGAAACGTGATAATTCTTATATTTATACTCTTAATTTTTAATGTATGTTTTTTATATATGATAATCAATCAGTGAAATATATATATATATTCTACTCTCGTTAATATGTTGTGCCTTAAGCAAAAGTAAAGTGAGCTGGCAAATTACGATATTGGTTTAATATTATGAAACTTTTGTAATTGCGATAACTGCGCATATTAACTAATAGATGAATCATCATAGTTATTCATAATCGTAATGCATTCAATACAGTACTTTTATTATGAATTATAACTGTTTTTAATGGAATTTACAAAAACAAATCGATTGTATGTGAATATTAATTTGAAGTGAATTGAAATAAACTTTTATTTCGCTTTGCAAATATTACACTTATTTGTATAAAGTCGTCTTCTGTAAATCTATGTGGTTCGTAACTTTGGGGGTATTACTATATAATTGATGTGAATATCGATTTTATATGTTATAGGCAACATATTATACGATTCAGTCTTTGAACCTACAAAAAAAATGAATAAACAATGATTAAATTACCGTTTTTTTAAGTATTCAATGTACATAAACTATACTATAAACAACAAATACTTCAAAATGTCTTTTTAATAACTATTCAATACATATATACATACATATCTTTAATTTTTTTAGCGGGTCTAAAATAAAATGTTTTCTCAATCTTAAAGATGGATTTGGTGTTTTTTGTGGAGTCGCATTTCTTCAATGCGAAGAAATGAAAAAACCAAATGAAAAATGCACACAAAACGAAAGAATCAACAAAAGACTTGTCAAGTTATAAAATTTATGAATTAATCGTGTTCCATATTTTCTTCGTTTGTACTCGTCTCGACTACAGTTGAAGTGTCTTCAACTTTTACCTCGGATTTGACTTCTGGTTTTAAATCAACGTCAACATCTTCGCTTTCTCCATCTTTATTGACAACTTCGATGGCAGATTCTGCTACCACTTCATGACTTTCGTCATCATCATCCATGTCATGATCGTCGTCATGTATTTCTTCATCATTTTTTTTAGGTTCAAAGTTTCGTTTCATTCTTTCTTCAATTTGAAGCAGTTCCTCATTGACATCCTCTCTCCTTGTTTCAATAATTTCTATAAAAATATTATAATTAACATCAATTGTATAAATATTTTCTTGTGCACATACTTTCTAACTCAGCTTTGGATTCTGCAAGGGCAGCCTTGGTTGCATCATTCATTTTCCTGGGAAGATAATAAATATGTGGTTTGGCCTTTGTCAAGATGAAATTGGTTTGTGGTTTGAGCAATTCCTCCCAACGATTGTGATCCTGCATTCGGCTCATCTTCAATTCAAGCATTTTAATTTCTGCCTGTTTCTTCTTCCTATTAAAGAATAATTCCTTACGTTCTTTCTTTATTTCCGCTTTCTCACGAATCTCAATCTCCTCTATTTTCTTTTCCACCTGTGCTCTCTTATCTTCCTAAAACGTCAATTTATTAGTACAATCTTCTTTGAAACACATTAATGATTAATTACCTTGGATTTCAATTTCGTTTCTTCTTGTTGAAATTTCTGTAATGTTCCTAATAAGGCACCAAACATTCGGCGATTCCTGGCTTTCGATTTCTCATCCATACTCTGCGCATCTAATGCTTCTTGTCTACTAGGCACTTCCTTGGGTGTAACAATTATTTTGCTGATCATTTGCCTTTTACCCTCAAATTCTTCATCATAGTGACTAGGCCTATCTGGTACTCTTCCTGCCAATCGGTTAAACACACTACCCCTCTTCTTGATTGGTGGCTCATCATTTTCATGATTATACACACGTCTGTTATTTCCTAATAAACCTCTTCCTCCTCTGGTTCTATCCTCGTTCAGTGGTGGCCTCTTCAGACCCTGGCCCTGTCTCTGCACAGCTAACTCTGAGGGATCCCTGCCAATTAACCTTCGAATATTTTCGTCAACTCCCTTAAGGCTATCTTTCGCTTGGTCCAACTGTGTCTGCAGTTGATAAATCCCTGCAATCATAGTTTCTGTGGCCATTGCGATAAAGTTTACACAAAAATAACAATCGATTTCTTAAACATTATCTGAGAAACTTCGACGCCATCCAAATTTATTACGTTGGTATTAAACACGTTTGTTTTCATTTCACTCTGGTGACATATTAAGTCGTACTGTTGGTTAAGGTGGAATTTACTTTTTCAAAATTGTTTTAGCATCCCAAAATCTTTACTTTTTATATTTCTATTTCTCCACTCTTCCAATTCTAGACAAAATATTTTACGTTCACCTATTTATAGGTGATAAACTTAATTTAAAAGATTGAAGTAACGCCTAACACTATTGTTACGTAACTCTTAATAAAACTATGAAAAAATAAAAACTAAAATATATTTATATTATCTCTTAACATCCGTTGTAGCGTACTAATGCGAGTTTCGAGGGACCTAAACTCATCCTCGCTATTCTTGACCTTCAGTTTCAGGATTTCCGATGCATGTCCATTGCGTGAACTATTAGAATCAAGTGAAGTTGAACGTGACCGAATCATTGAGCTTTTGCGCTGATCATAGTCGGAGAATTTGCAACTGGATGTTGAGGAATCTCGACTTTTCTTACCGACCGTTGATTTTGTGTTTCTATTGGCACAACCCTCGCTCTTTGCTCGTCGAGTATTTGTTTTCGTAGGCGAACAATTCCTGTACAAGTTTCTAAATTCGTCGCCTCTTCTAAATTTTAAATCATTTGTCGGCGGCTTTGTCCTAAAAACAATTTATTTTAATACGTTCTAAAAATAAGCAGAAATAGAAACTAACCGAATGGGACTTTTATAATTGCTTTGACTTAACTTCAGTTTCAAGTTTCGTTCGCTATTTCTCAATACTTCAACTTCTCTAACTAATTGTACTTTTTCTCTTCTTAGCTTTTCTACTAGTGTGTGATGCGATTTGCGCTCGACCATAACACTTTTCTCCAAATGACTGATTGCGCTCTGCAGCATGGAAACTTTGTTCTTGCCTTTACCTTTCCTGCTAAAAAATCGAACTTCATCTTTCAGCTCGCTATTCTCCATCTCCAATTCATCTATACTGGAACAAGCTTAAAGATTATATGCGATTAGTAAGGAAGCAACAAACCGTTTTTGCAATATCCACAACGAAGACTCATTGCTCGGAGGCCTCTTCTCGGTTTTTATTTTCGTAAGTTCCATCTCCAATTTTCTTATGGTCGCCTGAAGAACCGAGGGATCCGGCGGTCCACAATATTCCAATGGTAAAGGATATAAAATCCTATCAAACTCTACGTTATAAATTAAAATTAAATATCTTCTATTGCATTTTTCTTTGCTCAGCATCGTCCTCGAGGTGTGACTCTTAATCCTTCTGATCCTTAATGATTCTAAATCTTCGTATGTTAATAGATCTAACGATATGCATTCGCTCGTCTATAAATTTATAGTAATAACTTTGCTAAGATGTAACCAAATTTCTGTTTCAACATACTTTTAAAAATCCGGATTTTAGCATTGTCGTGAAAATGTCGAACTGCTTGAAATTTCCTGTTTTTCTCGTCAGGTTTTCAATATCTACAAACAAATTAAATAATGACTATTCCTTTTCGCAATACCACTTTTTTATTCCTACAAGCACTATCATAGCTGCATTGCCATTCTTCGCCAGATTGTTTGTCGGTGATGCTCAACTCTAAGTAACAGTTGGCCACGTTCATCTTGACCAAGAAATCTTGGCTGTGGAATAAACAGGTCGTAACTAAATTCTGCTCGGACATAGTTTCATAAAAAAAAATAAAATATTTTTTTAATATTAAAAAAAAATAACTATCAAAATTTTGACGCTGACAATTAGATCAAATAAAATTGAAAGATGTAATAAATAAATTTATGAAAAAATGTTCAGATAGGCTAAATGATAATATTGTTATAAAGTTAGTAATGATCGAAATTATTGAAACGAAATCTTATTGACACATGTCAGAAGAATAAACACTAACAATTATTCGTTAAATTGTAATTTTAATCCCATAGATAAACCAGCATATGGTAAATCTAATGAATCAAAACAAGATCAGTAGCATATTCTGTATGAAACAGGTGCAACCTCTTGAAGGTTTAATGCGAAACGGTCTTGAATCAAGTCAGAGGCTATGTTTTGCGCTTGAATTGATACCTGGTTATCATCTTCAAGAGAAGATAATAAACCTACATACGGCCGCGGGAAAGTCGCTGCTCTCATTTGCTGTGCTCTCATTCAGTCTCATTCATAGCAAATGAGAGCAAAAGTGCGACCGCACACCCGGAAGAAATCAAAAAGAAAATAGGGAAAATTTAGGATAGAAGGAAATGCTAGGTATCTGAAAGGGAACGTAACCAGGGATATCTCAATTGATGTTTATGTTCTAGACATTTCGTTTTAATCACAAATTTTGTATGCCTCTGGAAAGAGAGAAGAAAAATTTTCGTCTGAATTGGAATGAACCTTTCATTTTGCGAAAAACAAAATTTGATGCTAGTGTGCTGGTGGTAGTGTTTTTTAATTTGTTATTGACAATTGAAAAAAAACTTCATTTTGCGAAATTAAAGATTTCGAGAAAGTTTTCGACCAATTTCGACATACGAAGTTAAATATTTATACCAATTTTCGACATTGAAAAGATTGCAGACGAATATTGGTAGATATATGTATATATAATATATATACTATTAATGTACGTTTATATTAGGATGGTCATAATCTGTTGCGTCAAAGGTTGTGCTACAAAACAGGGTGATGAATTGTGGACCCTCCACGAGGATGTAGTATATGGACAATTAATCTATTGATTGAATTAATATAATTGAACCACAATTAATAAATCTATTATTTTCAGATTGGAAACACCCGACACGAGGAATCGTGAATTATCTACGAGAAAGATGGATTAAAAACAAGTAAACATTTACCATCTACGAGGAAAATGGATTAATCATGATGGAACGTGGACCATCTACATCCTACGACTTGGACAATACAATTTTTTAATTACTATATATGTATATACTGATATGGAGTGAGTGAAACGTGAGCCAAGCAAAAGCTCATTCAATCCATACCAGGAAATCAAGATGAAGTTAGTAGTAAACTTCACCCGAGCGAAGAGAAAACTGGAGTATTGATATGACTAGAAGAGGAAGGAAGGCGAACCAACGTTCAATCTGATCATTCAAAATCAAACACAAATCGAAACCCTTTTGCTCGTACATTCAAACACACACAAACAATTCCGAGCTTGCATTCAAACCAAAACAACACACAATAACATACAATATTCAGATTTTAGAAATATGAGAAACTTTGCAAAAATCTGAGAGAAAAACGAATTTGCTTTTAAGGGTGGCCAACCCTAATTATAGAATTTCCTGAACTATAATTTTTTAAATATTAATATAGCAAAAAAGTAAAATTAAAAAAATAAACAAATAATGCAGATTGTACTAATCTGTTGCGTTTAAACATTTGCTATAGTTGGGTAATTAAGTGAGGATAAATATTTCAAAATAATAATAATTAAGTAATTACCATTCAGTCTACAACGAGTAATGTATATTGAAGCCATTGCAACTTCAATATAAATTATAGATATGTAGAACCAATATCAAATTAACAACATTATTATCATTACGAAAAAGAGAAAAGAAAATCACATTCAAATGAACGAAACTTAAATTGATTAAAAAATAATCAATTACTTGATTAAAGCAATTGAAATTAAATTGAGAAGTTCTTCAAATCAATAGTAATTTAATGCAACCTAAACCTTTTTATTGTTCACGAACACTCGCGATAATTTAGCGAAAAATATGCACAAAATTCCCGGAAATATAACACTCCCGTGATTCTAATATTAATACATTTATAGCAAATTGAGTAACACGATTTTAAATTAACTGCAGTCACGGTTGAATAACAAGAGCCGAAGCCTTAAACTTGTTTTCAAAACAACGCACAAACGCTATAAATCAGAATGTAAGACTAAGATTTTTCTTAACGACACCTGTCGCGATACAAGGAAATGACATTTCGGGGAAAACGCGAGATCCGCTGTGATCTGTCGGTGGTTGCTCGAATACGAACATCCACCTCGAGAAGGTTTTAGCACAGACGGTCTTGCCATTCCATGCGTTTCACTGCGAACGTGAATAACGCATAGAATGACCTGGTATTTATAATAACTTGCATCCATATAAATAGCAAATAAAAAATATTGGAAGCAGTAAAAAAAAAGCGTGAATAAATAATGTTTTCAATTGTTCAATATTAATCAGCATCGTTGTTGTTGGTTACGGTTTGGAATCGTGGCTACAAAATTTCCACTTAAAATTAATGAGAAAGTCCCGAAATTTCATTAATTAATTGATGACTTAATAAAGGGACGCGCACAAATACGGCGTAGAGACGCCACGATCGTACCAACCGGTACCTCTTGCTAAATCATTTTTTTTTGCAAAAAAAAATGCGTTGGTATCAATATTAAACAAAATAATGGAATGGGGAAACGAATTGGTTCCTTGCATTGAATAACGAATATGCATAAAAAATGAAGCGTGAATTAAAGAATAGAATACTCACGGTCTATCGGCATCGTTAACCCTGCTCGGAACTGCGGCTTTCCTTGCCGCCGATTTTCATTGAAAACTGATGAAAATCCCCAATTTATTAGTTATATTATCACCCATTAAAATTGGATCGATGTTGACTTAATGAAGAGATGCGCACCAATGCGCACAACTCTGGCGTGGAGGACGCCACGATCGTGCCAATGTGTGTTTCTTTTGAAATAAAAATGCATTGTTGCTATCTTCACGAAACATGTCAAATAAAAACAAACGCACAAAAATGGAGGGAAAATGTTTTCTCTCTCCCACCGCCGCCATTATGAATCCGTCGCAATTGAATTAACACGACGCAAATAATTACATTAATTATCAATAATAATCCAAATTTCAATTAAATTTTTCTATGAAATTAAGAACTGATTGTAGATGATTTTTTTTTTAAAGAAAACGGATTAATTACTCACCGTTAATTGGCCACCAATGATTTTCTTTAATCGTAGAAAAGTTCAGCCGATTTCCAAGAGTTACACAACAATTTTGAATATTCGAAACGAGAACGCGCGCAGTCGTACTGATTGTCGGGCCTCTAATAACCATAACCCCCACCACGGAAAATAAGTGTACTGCAGTGTACCAGGGATACCAAAGGCGCTTGTTATTTTTTTCAAATCCCTGCTCAAGGAAGAGCATACGATCATTGCCAACTGTAAAAATGTTACACACACACACAGACGCACATTGACATACACACACACAGACACACTCACACACACATTGACCCACACACATATATAAAATATATATAAAAAAATATAAAAATATAATCAGAATTAACAAATTTATTTTACGACACAATACAACCCAAAAATTATTTGAATTCTCGGCGACTTCATTTATGCTTCCTTGCATATGACAAAATTTCTTGCTGCAGCTTATCTCTCTCGTTCACAATTTCTGTTTTATGATTCAATACATTATTAAGACAACTCAAATAAATACAAAAAATTTTATGTGTAGAATGTTCCACAACAATTTCGATCAAATCATTGGTGTGCGGGCATTTACACATCTTCACTTAAATTTTTAAATTTTATAAATTCTTGGCATTCTGCCAACGGCAACGCATGAAGAAGTGCCAACTGATTCGGTTTAAAATCAAAATTCGGTTTAATAGAACAATCACAGTAGGTCTAATAAACAATAGCAGAGATTATAATTAATTAATTATAGTATTCATTCCCGATTGAAAATTAATGAATATTTTATTATAAAAAGTAATTAAAATATAAAAAAAAACAAATACATTTTGAAAAATTATATAAGATCAGTATAGAAAAACTACATTGCATTGTGTTCAATCGCGTTTGTATATGTTAGTGCTTTTAATTGCTTTCTTTCTTTCTTAACTAAGGATAGTTTTTTCCACATCGTTTGCTTGCTTAATTTTTGTTTCAGTCTGCTTATTTTGTCCTTCGAGCGGTCCCTTCCATGTTTGGTACGTCGCTTAGTAACCCGTTGATACCCAAAAAATGTTTCAAACGCGTACACAGTCTGCACAAAGCACATCTGATTTCTTAATGCGTTACTTGAATTACAATTTTTGAACAAATCATATTTCATGCACATTTACTAATATCATTTTTGAATATTATAGATTGGAGGTTGAAATATTGATTTAGAAAGAAAAAATCCAAATACATTTGGAATACATTATAAATTTGAATATTCTTTTAAATCAAAAGCTCTGGTGTCACGAAGAGTCGATTAATTATAAACTGTGAATTCTTCAATATTGTAATCATTTGTAAGCCGGACAAAGAAAAAGACATAAAAGAAATGGAGTTTCACGTACAGAAAGTGCAATTAGTCAAGTGAATGGTGGCATTGCAAAGGGTCGTTCTGTGTGCTCGTTTCTGCACGTCAGAAGGGTCCAGTTTTGTAGAGTTGATGTAATTAATCGCGGACCCAGTGAATGGTTGTGTATTTTTGTGATTCATGGTTGTGGTTGGAGCACGTGTGCGTGCGCGTGTGTATGAAAGTAGTAGATGCAATTTAGCTTTGGGTGGAAAAAGAATGAAGCAGCAGGATGTGGATGCGGCGGTGGAGGAGGAGTGAGGATGAAGAGAAGAAAGAGGTGGAGGAACAGACAAAGTCTGTTGCATGTAGGAAGACCCGTTCCTTTACGCAATTGTATAATAAATATATGCAAGAGATGTCTCGTAGGAGGTCGTTTGACCCTATTGTTGTTGTGTGGTGTGTGTGCATGGGTAAGAAGTACCTGAAGACCTGCGCACTTCGGAGGGCCGATTTGGGGCCATCTGCGGATCGCATCCAAGTCGCGACCGACCGACCGACAGCCGCAGACAGACCGCACTTGCGACTCGCACGCGCGCGCGTCTTCATCACAGAAAAACCAGATTACGAAGCGCGACTGTTTGTCCCTTCATCCCTTTCGAGCAATAATTTCCCAATATAATTCGCGTCTCCTTGCAAATCGTGAAACACAAACATGTGACAACCTTATGTGCAATGGATACGAACGGCAGACACAAAACACCCTTCACAACTTTGTGGAACTTTTAAAAAAACGGATGCAACCAAACTAAAGGTAATCAACTATAAAATGACATCAACAATATGACTTTAAAAAATATAACTATTCGAAAAAACACATTTAATATAACTTTAAACATGAATCATTAAGTTTTTGAGCAAATTTTAGTCTTTTCAACTTATTAAATAATAAACTTAAAAAACGATTATAAAAGATAATTCAGGTTGAAAACTATTTAAATTTATTTTTCATGATTATATTTAATTAAATATTGATTGTCTTTTCGTTTTCGTCTTTAATTAGTTTTGTCGTATTGGAGTCGAAATCTATTATTTATTCTTGTTTATCAACATTTTTCTTATTAAAATTAACTAATAAAAAGTTGGTTTCTATTAAAACAAAAATCGGGAACGAAAATAATTGTCAATGTGACATTCTACAGCAACGTTTCTCAACATGTGTGTCGCATTAACCCAACGAATCAAATATAAGTTATGTAACGAAAAAAAAAAGCACATTCATTTTGTACAGTAAATAATTCAAGAAATACTAAATACTACATTATTTCCTGCATATCTACAGATTTAAAGCTTTACTAGTTATTATTTTTATCAACGTCTGGGACGCGAAATGACAGCTGTCAAAAAGTGAGGAACAACTGGTGAACAACTGATATCAATTGGGAAACATTGTTGCCTAATAATATCCGAATTATTACTTAACTTTTGTAAGCTAAGTAGCTAATGAACAAGAAAATAATCATTACTTTGATAACATTCTTATATAAAACTAATTCTTTCGTAATAGTTTTTGTTCATTAATTTCTTAAATGAAATTGAGTTTTATATGTGCAACTAAATACTTGAAACCGCACTACTGTAAGGACTTTAAAACCGCATAAAAAGAGACTCGACTGTACAGAAGAAACACAAACCGATCATTTATGTATACAAAAATAATTTGGTCAATTTCGCTTAATTAAAATTTTATTTTGTAATTTTTAAATCGTACTATAGTGAATTCGGACTAATCGAAGCTGCACATTGTTGTATTCACATTTTAAAGAATTCGTCGTGAAAGTTATTTTAGAATCAAAGAATGTATGCAATACCACAATACTGGCACCCGCTCGTCGCGATTGACCAAAAGGCGACGTAATTACGTAAATTCTCTGTTCGTCGTTTCATTTGTATATTAACCGAGCTAGTAGGTCACATAATGCATGTTGTTAACTTTATCGCAAACATACATCAGCGTTAGACCGATCGCAGTGTGTGTACGTACTCAGCACATTGTTTGCAAGATCAATACTTCATGCAATGACTTTTTTCTTAAAGGTAATCTTATTTTAATACGCAATCACAATTATATTAGTTCATATTAATTCATCCATTAATAGTATACGCATTTATTAGGATAATTGACAGTTAACACATTGTGATAATTATGAGATTATGTTAAGAGTAGTTCAAGTCTAACTGTCATCCATCTAAATACTATATGAGATACACGTTGCTTAACTTAAGTAAAACATGTAACCTAATTATATCTATAAAATTGTAATTATTTTAATAAAACATTTCTTCTGTCTATCAGAGATAACTTGTACAGCAAGAATACTTTACTCGAATACTTCCCTTCATGTAATAATAATGAATAATTAAGAGTTCGTTGATTGTGCACGAAGCTGCAGCGCGCTAGTCGCGTTTGTTTTGCGCATTTAATGAGACGTTTGCAAGAAGCTCCAACAATTGTCCTGCAGCTTTATAATAATGACAATAATTACAAGTAAATGAGTGATGCTGATGAAAACGCGGCGGCTGGCAATAATGAATCTCCCTCTCACGTCGGAAATAGGTCAATTTGCATACGCGTTAATTGGTGATTATTCTCTTCAAAAATTCGTCCGCATTGCGTGTGCACGCATACAGAATTATTCAAAGTACACTCGGTCCTCTTTTTATGCGTACTCTTTTTATGCGGTTTTTATTTCAAGAATTTTTTTTAAATAACTATTTTAGGCCATTTTGACACGTTTTGACACAAATTGGCAAACCATTTCATCAAAAAAAGATGATAATTCTGAACGAGCATTCAAGTTTCAACGCGAGCTTCAGAATTGGATATCAGGAATTGTACAAAAAAAATAGCAAAGCCATCGCAAAGTTTAATTCCTGATTATATTGTCAATGGGAAAAAATCAACATGCGAAGTTGAGACTAATTTTACTTGTGAAGAATCATTATCTTAAGGACATAGATCTGATATGCTGACTATCTCTTCTAGTGATGAAAGTGATTTCGAACCAATTCGTAAATTATGCCAAACACTCTCATATAGCAACGATAATTCTAAAGAAAAAAATGTGAAGAAAGATTAACTTTCATAAAAAAAATTCTGTATTTTTTTTTTGTAAAATTTTTCAGTATAAATTTAGAAGGAATATGTTAAGATTATATTTTTCTGAAATTTAATAAACTTCTCTATGATTGTTAACGTTTTTATAAAATTATGAATAAACATTTCAGAAAGAATATAGTAAGACTAATTATTTTTCTGAAATTTAATAAACCCTTTATTATGAGATTTTCGGTATATTGTAACTCATTGATTTAGTTTTATGCGGTTTTAAAAAAATATGGAACGTATCCTTTATTTTTATACGTGTGTCTTCCTTTTTTGTGCGATTTATTTTTATGCGTTTTCCTGTGGAAAATATCTACCGCATAAAAAAAGAACCAAGTGTAAAAATAAAA